CTAATTAAATCAGAGCAATGTTTGCATGCAGGAAGCATGCTGCCCTTCAAAGGCAAACTTCCTTTTGATGCACTGGACTGAATTTCACAGAGCATATGTAATAAGGCTGAAGGGGATGTTAAGAATTGGTAGGATCATTGGTAGGTTCATTCGTAAGGCTGGGACATGAAAGTCTTCCCTCGTATTTTGGCAGCAGGTGTAGCCATGGGAGGATGGCTCTAAGTGGCCACAGTGGTGATTCCACGTGGAGCACCCAGCGCTGTGGAGCACCCAGTGCTGACTCTTCCAGTACTTGCACTCTATTTCTACAGCAGAGTTGTCAGCTGGGGTCCTCGTTCAATGTGCACACTTGTCCCTGCCATTGGAAACACGTCACCTGCTGCAAACTTGGACTCCACATTCGCAAGGGACCACCTGTATTTCTGGGATAGAGTGGGTAGATCTTTGTTCATTTGATGAACTTTGACAGAACTACCCAAGTGAGGTGTTGCTCAGTCTTATGAAGCCTCTGAGGCAGAGCATCTGGCTCCAAAGGCCTTGCAAACTTTATAGCCTGGGAAGGGACTGAAGGGGGCAATTCCTGTTAATGTGAACCTATCTGCACAAGCATTAATAACTGCTGTAGCCTGAATCCCAGGACATTCATGAATTCCACTTAGCAGCTACTCACACAGCATTAAACAGTTTTATTAGCAGGTTGCTATCAAAACAGAGGGGTAGGACTTGGTAGCTGGGCCACCTTCTGCCCAGACTCTCTGAAATCAGAGAGCACAGAGGATGCTCTCAGCTTAATACAACTTTTTTTGGAAAGGAGCAGCAGTAAACACTGTGAAGATGAGCAATGAAGGATTCACACTGTAGGGTAAAACCTGCCATTAAGAGCTCCTGTGCTGAGTTCCAGTTCCATTCCATCCGTCTTGTTCTCCTTCTCCAAGCTTTCCTTTCAGCTCAGCTTTTTTCCATCTGAGTAGCTCCAATCTGTCCAGGATATGGTCCTATTTTTAGCTGTCATGCATGAGAAGCATGAGATTCTAGGTACCGGGATATTAGAGATTTGTTGTATCAGATCTCATTGAAATACAACTGCCTCTGGAGTTTCTAATTCAGATCAACTTCATGTCTTTAATTGCATGGGGCACTTGTGAAGTTCATAAAATCAGTGTTCAGGCAAATGTACCCTTATGGGGCAGATTTGGTAGAATCACATTTTTTTTAGTTCAAGTTAAGTACTGTTCACTCTTTTATAGCCTCACATATTTCCTTGGATATCATAATTTTCTTGGAAGGGAATGTCTGCTAGTGCTAACGTGCTTGGAAAGCTCATAAAAACTGGAGGTAGAGGCAGCCTGTGTATCTTGCATTTGCTAACAGTTCACTCTGGGTTTCCCTAATGTGGCCGATTTACAGGGGTCACATTTCCACCTGGATGGGTTTGTCCATGAATAATTCTCCTCTGTCTTGTGTACAAGCATGATTTTCCTACAACACTCATATATTTCTCTGCCTCAATTCCCCCCCGTCTCTCTGGTATTTTTCTTCACACAACACTGTGGCCAAGGCAACAGAAAGAAAATCTTTTAATGAACATGTATGTTATTTCCTGATCCTTGTATGTCTTTTCTTGGGGGCAGGGCTCAAGCAGGATTTTAGCTAGCGGTGATGACGGTGCAGTTTAAGATTGCTTTGGTGCAATTATACACCTCATCTTTTCATTGTTCAGACCAACGGTGGGTTGGAACTGCCCAAGCAGGTGTCAAAACCCTGACAGCATTGGTGTTATGAGAGGCAGCACCCAGTAGGTGCCCTACAGCCTGGTCAATGTCACAGTGTACCTGCTGTGTGCTGTGGGGTGGCAGGACCTGGGGTGGCTTGGGCAGCAGCAGCAGCCACATGGCTGGCCTGGCCCCACACCAGCCCATGTGGGAAATTCTGCATCCCTGGACAAGCAGTGAGGGAGACCTGGTGGTTATCCCATTGGGATTCTCTGCACAGAGGCAGGTTAAGCATCAGGCAGAGGCAGTCCTGGGGATTCTGCACAGGCTGCAATGACATCCTGTCCCCAGCCTTGATCACTTCCCCAGTTTTCAAGGATCTCTCAAAATCCAGACAGAAATCAATTAACAAATTCCTGGTCTGCCACAAAGAAACTGTCGGTTAAGCTCTAAACAGTCTTTTGGGAAAACCTATTTTTCCTGTTTCCCATTTGGGTTTACTTGTTTTTACCCTTTGAGATTAATCACCATAAGACACTCACTGCCTGTGTCACACCAGAGGTCTCTTTACAGGCAAGGTGCCTCAGGCTGCCTGTACATTGCTACTGTACTCTGCATGCTCCCTCCTTGTCATCTGTGCTACAGCAAGAGGAAGCAAGGCTTGTAAAACCCTGCTCTCTCCCAGTCACTCCTGCCAGTTCACATCTCCAGTGCTAAAATTCCCACCCATTTTTCTGGCAGAGCAGGTTAAGGAAAGGTATGGAAACATTGGCACCAGGGAAGAACTGAAGCTAACAAAAACATGCTGGCTGTATGTTTGCATATATGAACATATTTTTGCTTCAAAGAGAAGCAGTTTCTCCAGTCTTGGTCACCAAATAGCCAGACTTTAATCTATTTGTCCCTTCGAGTAGGTAAAAGAGTCAGTATTTAATGAAGAATGTAGCAAATGTGCTCAAGGTAGTAGATAAAAGAACACCCCTAAGCACGTGCGAGTATTTCGGAAAGCTTATGTAACATTTCCTTTGCAAAATAAACATATACATACAGCCCTGTTTCCAAAACGTCACTGAGAATATCATCACTTGCAAATGTTTTTGGAAAAGAGGCTGCCAAATCGCTAAATATATTCTGGGCTTTGAATAGACATTTCATACTGTTTCTTTTCTACCCTAATGAATCTTTTCTTAGCCCTCTCACAGAAGTTTGATGACCTGTCTGGGGATAGCATCCCACTGGCTTGGGTGCTTGCAGTAGAAATTGGACTTGCCTCCCCATTTTATAGAGCTGGGTGCTGTGCCAGGGGAAGCCTATGATGCTGCTTGCTCTCCACTTGCTGCAAAACCCTCGAGGGACTTGGGCTGTGGTGGAAGGAGGTGAAGGAAGAGAAACAGGGACACAACTAAGGGGATGGGAGGAGCTGTGAGAGCACCGGGACAAGGTCTGCACCACATCTAGGGATGGGCGCCTGGAGCTGGCCTGACATCTGGCCTGTGCCAAGGCCCAGAGGTGCAAAAATCAGCTGACATAGTGGTTTTTCAGTCATGCTTTAAAAATTCAGAAGGCTTTTTTATATGTTGTTTTGCCTCAGTGATGAATGCCCATCTGTCTATAAATAAGGGTAGATACCAAGAAATGTATCATTTCAAGGTTTTACACTTCCGCTGAAAGACTTTACAAATGCAATAAAGAGGAAATAGTGAAATTCTTGACATGTTAACATAAACAGTGCATATAAACCTCTACCCTAACCATCCACTGCTCTTTCCCAAGGATATTAGGGGTAGACTGCTGGGTTTTCTGAAATCAGACACACAGGAGGTATCTCCTGGTGGTCAGAGATATCTATGACTTAATTGGTCAGCCAGAGTAAGAAGGAAAAGCCGAATCAGATCCACAAAACCCCTCTGAGGAAGCAGAATTACTCACACTGCATCCCTGCCTTTAATATTTCATCTTTCCTTTACTTACATGATTTCATTGATTTGTTTCATTGATTTGCAGAAATGAGGGTGCAAGCAGAGGGCAGATGCCCACATCAATCTCAACAGAGAGATCACCGAAGGACTATCACACCAACACGCTGAGCCTAAATAACCTGTCCAGGGTGGCTACATAACATGGAACCAAGTTAATTGTTTACTGCTGTTTCAGTACTATGTAGCAAGAGCCACTGCCACCAAGTTATGGAAGCAGCACATCAGTTTCTGCCTCCAGAGGAGAACCAGCCTGGGTTCTCCAGATGAAAAGTAACCTTGTTAAAGCTGAAACAATTCCCACTCCAATTCACCACAGAAATGTAAAAACTCTTCTCGCAGAAGAGAAATGGTAGTTATGAAAAGCTGCACATGAGATGGCAGGATCTCTTTTTTCTGCTTTTTTTTTGTGATCAATGTGGGAGAAAATCTGTGTAGAGTCTGTAACAGCTGGAAAGGTTGGAGATAAAACTTGCCCTCACAAAGTGTAGAAAGACAGGGTTAGAAAGAACCTCCTGGGTGACCAGGAGTAGCCCTTGCTGTTGAAGACACCATACTTAATGGGGATATACGAACACGACAGCTGCATCAAACCACCACCATTCACGCACTTACACCTTCTGCTCCTGCCTGGCAGTGATACTCCACAACCTCCTCCTCTTAGGATCAGTACGGTCAGGATGCTTTCTCTCCTTCTCCAGCTCAGATTTATTTATAGCCTACTTGCACCCATTTGTTCTTGAGCCAGCGCCGTCCAGTAGTGTAATTAGTGGTTCCTCCTTGTTGTTCATGGCTTTCTGGAGCACGACGGCATTCCCTGTGCTGCCACGGGACACCCACACGCACACCCGCACCAACCCGCTGCCTGCCCTCAGGTGGGGACCCTCCCGCGGGAGGGCTCTGGGGAGAGCGATGTCTCGTGGTGAACTGCGGGGAGGGGACGATAGCTTTGGGACAGTGCAACACCCTCCCTACCCCGGGACCCTTCAACAGCTCCCCAGTGCCCTGACCCTGCACCACCCCATTCCCGGGATGCCCTCGCGCCTCCCGCCTCAGTAGCGAGCGCGCGCAGGCGCGGCATTAGCGCGCGCCCACCACCCCAGCGCCGTCTGCTCGCGCCCCCCCAGACCACCGGTCGCGCATGCGTATTACCCCCCCCGCCCGCCGCCTCCAGGCCCCGCCTTGTGCAGAGCGGGGCCCGAGACGGGGGCGTGGCCTGCGAGGGCGTGTCCCAGGGGGCGTGTCCCACTAGCGGGGGCGTGTCCCGCCGCGGCGCGCCCTGTCCATGGTGCGGGTGTCCCCGCGGCTGGAGCGCGGCGGCGCGGGGCTGCATGGACGTGATGTCCCCGCAACAGGAGCACCTCGGCCCGGGCCGCTCGTCCTCGGTGAGCGGCGAGGGCAGGGGCTTCGCTGCCGCCGCCGACAGCAAGAAGGTGAGGCCGTCCCTGGAGACCACACGGGAAAGAGCTGCCTGGCCCTCGCCACGGCCCGCGAGCCCCCCGCGGGGGGCACCGCGGGGCAGCGCGGCCCCATCGGGCGCACCATCGCCGCACCATCGCCCCCGGGTCCTGCACGCCGCCGGCGGGACCGGGACTGCCGGGGGAGCAGCCGGGGAAGCGGGGGCTGTCGGCGGGAAGGGCTTGTGCACGGGTGCCCCGGGGAACTGGAGGTGCGGCGCTGCCCAGTGGGGCTCGCGGGCTCTCCCGGGTCGATAACCTCCAGGACCTCAGCGGGGTTGCTGCATGCATATCCCGGCGGCAAGGGGAGGCTGGTGCCTGGATGTCCGCGGTAGGTGAGGAGCGCCGCTTCACAGCTGTCCCGGGGAGCTCGGGAAGGGTTTGCTGGATGGTGTTCGGTGGAGCCAGGGGGCTTTGCTGCATGAATTTCCCGGTGATCGGGCGCGGGGGATGTTGCTGCATGGATGTGCTGGGGCGACAAGGGTGTTTGCTGCATGGATGTCCTGGGGAGACCTAAAGGGAGCTTTGCTGTGTGGATGTCTGGAGGTTTTGCTGGGGAAAGGTTTGCAGAATGGTTATCCAGGGGATCTAAGAGGTATCTGCTGCGTGTGTGCCTGGGGAGAGCGAGGGGAGGGTTTGCTAGAGATGAGGATGTTTGCTGGCTTCTCTCACACGTGCTTTGTGCAAGAGACGTATAGGAGGCTTCCTGAAGAAGCGCCTTGCGCTAAATATATCACAATTGATGGCAGAAGAGCTTCATCCCATCTTCAAAACTGCTTGTAAAATCTGTTTGATGTCTCAAATCGCTTTTCAGCATCTGACACGATCGAGTGCAGAATGCTCCCTTCTGCGTACAGCCAAGCACTTGTTTCTGCCTTATACTTAAATGAAATGAGCAAGCTGTAATAACCACATTCTTCTCACTGTATAAAACATGAATTCTTTTTTTCTCCTTGGTTTAGCAAGTGCTGTAGTGTTTTTCTATCCAAAGAAGAGCTGGTGCTTTCCTGCCTTACCAATTTTGCCTCACAATGGTATTTAAATCTATGCACTGCCTTGTCTTTAGAGGTGCACTTCAGAGGACTGCCAAATAGGCTGGCAGGATTAGAATGACTGGCCAGGCTACGGTGTCCTTTACTAAATCTGTCCACCTGGTGAATTTAGGATGCATGGTATTAGAGGCTGAGATTGTGTTCAATCCTGTGGCTAAGCAGTCATTGGGACTTTGCTGGCTATGGCACAGTGGTGCAGAAAGGAATCCTGATCCCTCACCTGCTGATGTGTCTCTTAGGGCTGGGAAGTGATGCTCTATTTCCATGGGTTCTGTCCATGTGTACTGTGTCCCACCAAGCCACATACCTCTACAGCCTGACTGCAGCCCTGGGGACCTCTTCTTATGACAGCTGCTGCCAGTGGTGAGATGGTTGCCTGGAGAGTGTTTGGCCAAGACTTCTACTACATTGCAGTTAATACCTGATTGGTTTCTGAAGTGGGTGTGTGATACACCTACACAGAGTGGTGGAGTACCTTGTGCTGCCCAGCTGGGCAAAATGATGCAGTAGATACTCACCCTCTCCGAGTACTGTGGTCTAATTTGAGATGGCTCAATATGTGTGAGCTTTGATTTTTATCAACCATTTCTTTCATTTTTGCTGAAGACAGAGTACCATGTACCTTCCAACCTGGCAGAGCCCTGATGCCAGGCACCCACCTGAAATGAGAAGTTATGTTCAAGTACTGTGAAGATGAACACTTTTTTCTTGCAAGTTCTACTTCATAATTCAGCATTCTGAGGACAAATATTAATGGTAGCACTTGTGTTTCCCATTCCTGCTCCAAAGAGCCCACAGTCAAAGGAATGCAGACCTTGTTTTTGCCAGCGCTGACAAGAGAGCAGGGATATTACTTTTTACGGATCTTGGCAGCCCTTTTGGAATTCCTCAGCTTGGAGGCACATGCAACAGGGGTACAGATGGAGATCCTCCTGTGGAGAAGCAGCTTGAGACCCTGGCTGGGCCGTGCAGCATATGGCAGCTTTGCACATCATGCACAACCGACACAGGCAGCCACCAACATCCAGCCAACTGCTCAGCTGCTTGTCCACGGCTGTGGTGCTCCCTTGAGACTACTAGCACACCACCTCTTTGTGCCTCTCTGTGGAAGAAGATTCCTACCTTTATGCGTGTACAGCAGTGGGCTATTCCTAATTTTGCCTGAAGCTGGATCTCAGTGACAGTTCAAATATTTCTTTTACTACTTGGGTCCCATGGACTCTATATATCCCTCTGTTTTGTCTTCCACTCAGTGCCAAAGCATCAAGTTTTTTTTACAATACAGAAAGTCTTTCTTGCTACAAGGGAGCTTACATTGTTTGTATTGGTTGCATACAGTTAAATGGAAGAATGTGATGGCAAGAAATCAGTTTTGATACTTGTGACACAGCAATTTGTTTGCAAATATGTATTTAATATCAATTATTTTACTTTCTGGCAAAAATATCTCCAAATATGTGACACTAAACGACCACTGAACCTTTCTGCCTTTTTATTCTCCTGACTTTCTCAAATTAGCTGAGATTTGCTACATTGTTCTGTGGTTTTTGAACTCCTACTTCATCTGCTGCTTGGCTGTCAAAATGAAGCTGAAAGATCACATGCTTGATCACACCATAGAACCAGAAGAGAGACAGAAAATATCTAGGGTTTTTCTCATGTATTTTGTATGACTATTTAAACTAATTTCCTGGAACCATTTCTTTTCCTTTTCTTGGCATGCAAAATGGTTTGCACTGCTAACCTACCTCACAGGCAGTGGGAGGTTCTCTCTATTAAATGCTTACAATGCACTCAAGGCACCCTGCTAAAAGGTGACATTGAAGTGCAATGTTTTAGTTAATGCTTTTGGAAAATTCTGGACTAGATTCCCTCCTTTAGTGGACTTACTGGAGTCACTGGACTATGTGTGGTTGACCTGCAGAGAAGTTTTGTATTGACTGTTTACCTTACTAACCATCATCATCATCATCATGGCTAGGCTTCGCGAACGAAGATTTGGGAAGGCTCTATCCACATTTGTTACAAGCACGCTGGTGGCTAATAAGGCCAGTACGAGATAGACATGTCCTATTACAAAGGGCACAGCAGAAAGACTCCTTAGGTGGTATATTCTGCAAAACACGGTTCTTTCTGTGTTGTCTTTTCTCCTCGAGAGCAATCCTGCGTGTGTTCTCAAAGGAAGCAGCAGCGTTACAGATGGTGTGTCTCCAGACCTTCCAGTTTGAGGCCAGAGTAGACCAGTTATAATGATCAATACGGCCAAGGCTGAGATGTTGTTTCAGGGAGTCCTTGTATCTTTTCTTCGGGGCTCCTCTCTTGCGGCAGCCAGTGGCAAGTTCACCACAGAGCAAGATCTTAGGGAGGCAGTGGTCCTTCATTCCTTCATTCCTTCATTCTTGAGACGTGTCCTGCCCAACGCAGCTGTGTTCTCAGCACCTTAGTAACCAATACCAATAAATTGATGCAACTCTGAAGTGGACTGAAGTAACATGAGTAAGAGTGATTATACAGATAGAGCTTATTTCTACAAATTTATCAAAACAAACTATGCAGCAGAGATGTCTTTTATATTGAGGTAACCATGTCAGCAGTAGCAGCTGTGGTCATTTAACCATATTTATAAGTTCCTGGTGTTTCACTTCTCTCTTCTTAGAGGGGCTAGATTCCAACCAACCCTGAATATTTTACACAAAACAGTATCTGGCAACAGAAGGAGTCACTCTTAGGATTTTTGCTGCCTCAAGTAACTGCTTAAAATGTTTTGGGGGTCAGCAATTTTTAATATTTACTCCTACAATGTGTGCAAAAAAATAACCATTTTGCACACTTAGCAAATTAGTATTTATGGTTTGAGACTTGAAATAAGGTATTCCATCACCATAAAAATATGTTTCTTTGTGATTCTGATCACAAATACAGCAACAGTTTACTGGCAGGGAAAGGAGTTACAGTGTCCCCCAACAGTGTACTAAATGGATAAAATTCAGGCAAATTATTGGCATTGGAAGGGTAATGCTAGTCATACATAATCTTCATCCCTTTACTTGTCTCACTGCGCAAAAAAAGTATGTATTTCCCATTGTATTTGATGATACCTTGATCTCATGTTAGCTGATCTCATGCCCCTATGTGTACATTTTTTAACATAAAGCTTCGTAAGCAAAGATTTCTTCTTCCTGCAATACTCTGTCCTGTTTACTATGATCCTGGCTAAGGATCTGGTGGGTTGCTTCCAAAATCACACCTGGTAGTGCTGAAATCTCAGATGTCCAGGACCACTTCTGACACTCTTTAGTGAAGTGATGGACAATTCCTGTCATCCTGCAGATATATCTTGCAGCAATTTTATCTCTGATAAGGACCAAAAGAGACCTAATTTAATGAAATCATCCACCTAATTGGTCTTTAGGTTAAAATCACCTTGGCGACCTGTGCTGGATTATGGTAACTTACTGTTGTGATGTGCCTCCTGATACTACTTTAATTATGAGCACTCCTTCTCCTGTCTGTCCATGAGAGAAATGAAAATTATGCATAAAACAATGTGTTCTAATTCTTGATTTTCTCAGCCTTGGGGTTTTTTTGTCCCTCATGGTGGCAGTAGGAAAGAGAGGCGCTTGACAGGTTATGTAGGATCTAATACTCAAGAACTGCAGATGTCAAATTATTGCCTGTTTACTTAATTTTGCTTGAATCTCCTCTCTCTGTTGTCTGTAAACTGCTCCTGAGAAAGCCTTACTGTACAGAAACCGGGGCAGAATTGTGTCCATGTGTTAACCTTCCTGCTTTTTGTCAGGCTTGAAAGGAAACTTTGGGCTTCATCAAAAAATACCATGGAGTCAGTGGTCTGAGCACTATGAATCCGGTGAGCTGACTGTAGGACCCACAAGCAAAATATTCAATGCTTCCCTCGTCTACATT